TGTGTCTACATCCTTTAACTCAACACTCTGTCTACATTCAGTATGTCTACACTCTTTAACTCGACACTCTGTCTACATTTTGTGTGTCTACACTCTTTAACTCAACACTTTGTCTACATTTTGTGTGTCTACATTCTTTAACTCAACACTTTGTCTACATTTTGTGTGTCTACATTCTTTAACTCAACACTTTGTCTACATTTTGTGTGTCTACATTCTTTAACTCAACACTTTGTCTACATTTTGTGTGTCTACATTCTTTAACTCAACACTTTGTCTACATTTTGTGTGTCTACACTCTTTAACTCGACACTCTGTCTACATTTTGTGTGTCTACACTCTTTAACTCGACACTCTGTCTACATTTTGTGTGTCTACATTCTTTAACTCAACACTTTGTCTACATTTTGTGTGTCTACATCCTTTAACTCAACACTCTGTCTACATTCAGTATGTCTACACTCTTTAACTCGACACTCTGTCTACATTTTGTGTGTCTACATCCTTTAACTCAACACTTTGTCTACATTTTGTGTGTCTACATCCTTTAACTCAACACTCTGTCTACATTCAGTGTGTCTACACTTTTTAACTCAACACTTTGTCTACATTTTGTGTGTCTACATCCTTTAACTCAACACTTTGTCTACATTTTGTGTGTCTACATCCTTCAACTCAACACTTTGTCTACATTCAGTACGTCTACACTCTTTAACTCGACACTCTGTCTACATTCATTGTGTCTAAACATTTCCACACAACACTGTCTACACTCTTCAACTCAACACTGTCTACATACAGTGTTAACATAAGAACATAAGAAAGGAGGAACGCTGCAGGAGGCCTGCTGGCCCATACTAGGCAGGTCCTTTACTACAGTCTTCCTCCCAGCTCTCCCAGTAAAAACAGTACATTCACAAATATTGTAAAAAGCAAGATTTGGAATGTGAATAAAGTATATTAAAAATTTTCGGGGAAAAGGGTGAGTTAAAAAGTAAAGCTGAAAGACGATTTCATTTGAACGACTTTAATGACTGTGTCTTGCATGAGAAAAACCTAAATTCTTTGAGAAAATATTGACTTCTCAATGTATATCACATTTGTAACGTTTTGGATAATAATAATAATAATAATAATAATAATAATAATAAAAATAATAATAATAATAATAATAATAATAACCCACAATCATCTCAGTGTTGTGAAGCTCTGTTAGATCTAACAACAAGGTTAATAGAACATTGAAGAGCAACAAGCTAGTGGAGGGAAACAAGCCGTGTCTCTTGAGAGACTGTGTAGGTTATGTCCAGGAGTGCCCTTGGGAAATCATAGAGGAGAGCAGCGTGGTGATGTAGAAGCTAGTTATACACTACAAGAGCAGCTTGAGAAAGAGAGAGAGGGAGATACAGATTGAAGACATCGTGGGTGGAAATGTGTATGAGGAGCAGCAAGACCTGTGACTATGGTGGATCACGTAGGAGTGAAGCTGCATAGATTACAAAATCTAGTTAGTGTGAAACTGGCAACATTGACTCTGCAGAGGTATTTAAAAAATGAAAAACATGAGGCGCTGTGGTTCCGCCTACATACATGCAAATATGCGCTCTGGTAGCAAATGAAAAGCAACGTCACTAAAAATATATTGATTCTACAAACATACTGACGCTACAAAGGTATTATATATACATGTACTAGGAGAAACATAACGTTAAAATAAGGGCTTATCTTTACTATTGTCATTTAATACCGTGAACTTGACGGGCTTATTCCGAAGCCATTAACTTACCTAAGGGTAAAAAACTCTATATCAGGCTTTTTACCCTATAGTTGTTGCACTCTTGCCTGTGTATCCTTTTCTTTTGCAAAGGAATTATGCATGTTATCTGCCAAGGATTAGTGCCTTCTCTTCTTCCAAAACCATATCCTCACCTGCTCTTAACATCACGGTTTTAATCCGTCTGTCCCAGCTGCTTTGCCTCATTTCATCCTGTCAGTTGCTTCATATACTTTCCCCACATCTAACTCTGGCTATTTCCAACTCTAATTAGATATTATTCCTCTCTGCTTATGACATGTCATCGCCTCCCTTTCATCATCAACTTTCATCAACTCCACGGAATATTCTCTCCATTTTTCACTACCTCCACGTATAGCATCTACCATCTTTCAGTTTTTCAATGGAAAATCCTTTCGCTCCCCACACTTTCTCAACTTATTAATCTTTCTCCAAACATGCTACTTATTTTCAGTAGTAAAATTTGCTGGTGAAGACTCCCCGAGCGTTTATAATCGACCTCTGAATAGGTTGATATATAAGGGTAAGTACAGTAAATTACAAACCTATCGACTACTCGATTGCCATTACGGCTGCACGTCACCCATGCACCACAAGTCAAGGACACTTCAATCCTAATAAAAATGGATAAGAGTAAATTTTAATTGCATACACACTGTGTATCCTCCGAAGTTATACAAAGAAAATAACATTTACTGACAGTATATCACCCACCACTGAGCACCGGGTTACCATCTTGGGAAGACCCGGACCGGTACCACGAACCTACTACTCATTTACCCACCGCTAAAACGATGATATACAAACAGTGGAATACAACACGGAATGGAAACAGAAACGTCTCTTATAGAAAACTGACAATAAAAAATATATTTATATTTACTACTTGACGATTTCAGTATAAAGTGAAATTGAATGCCAGCAAAATCACTTTCAATAAATACTCGGAAACAGTAATACTGCGGAATATCCCGGAGCTGCTCCTTCACGTGAGAGAAATTGCAGATACTGAGCCCAGGTATTTACCAGGATTACCTCTCCCGTCACAAGTATTTGTTAGGCTTGGTTTTCCTGTCACAGTGTTTGTTACACCTGGTTTTCCTATTATATATGTATAAATATAAATTCATGTGATCACATTACGGCACAAAAAAATATACAAACACAAATGGATCTGAAAAAAAAATTAAATTAAATCTTTCTTTATACCAGAAGATAAGTATGAATAGTGAAGCCAGACAAAACAGAAGAAAGAGGCATTAATACCGCTTGAGAAAAGGGCGAAGTTACGCACATATATCTAGAGAAAAACGACCAAATGGAGAGTTGTGTTACGCATGTTATGTTCTGAAGAGCGTGAGACATCAAGCACTATTGTTGAGTGTATTGTAATTCATGAACAGCGGGTGGAGATAAGTGTATTTGGGTGAGGATAAGTGTATTTGGGTTCGAATAAGTGTATTCTGGTGAGGATAAGTTTATCTGGGTGAGAATAAGTGTATCTAAGTGAGGATAAGTGTATCTAAGTGAGGATAAGTGTATCTAAGTGAGGATAAGTGTATTTGGATGGGGATAAGTGTATTGGGGTGGAAAAAAGTGTACTAGTGTAAGGAAAAGTGTATCTGGATAAAAAAAAGTGTATTTGAGTAAGAGAAAAAATTGTGAGGGTTAGATTAGGTTTGTCAGGAAACAGGACAAGTGTTTCCTGACGCTGGTCTTAGTCATATGAAGACCCACAGCTGGAGCTTTTGGTCATCTGACCGAGGCCTTCCACTGGCTTACCGGTCCACCCCTTTAAAAATTATGGTTACGATTATAATAATTTTTCATGATTTTTTTTCTTTTAAGAGAATGAAAATAATTAATAGATTATCTTATAAATCTGAATCTACGTTTCCCATTAGAAGAATGCTGGCAAATACTCTGTGATCTGAACCAACCAATGTAAACCTCAACCCAACGGATAATTTTTAAAGAAACAATTATTTAAACCAGCAAACGCTGGGTTAAAGAAAGAGACAGAACTTTTCACAGTAGACACGAAGATTGGACATGGAATTTTGATGACGTTTCTGATGGTGCTGGTCGACGCTTCCGATCGTCTTGAGCGACGTTCCTGCTTCTGTTCGTCTTGGAAGACGCTTCTGTTCGTCTTGGAAGACGCTCACCAGTACGAATCATGACGGTTCAGAAGCTAACACAATGTAATAAAGTTCCGGGAGAGGTAAACATCTAATCATGGAGACTGGTTTCAGGAAAACTTTAACCAAAAAAATATCGAATCTTAACCATAATTTTTAGAGGTGGACCGGTAAGCCAGTGGAAGGCTTCGGTCAGATGACCGAAAGCTACAGTAGCGGGTCATCATATGGCTAAAACCCAGAGTCAAGAAACACTTGCCCTCTTTCCTGACAAATGTTACCTAACTTACCCAAAATAAGACTCGAAACCCAATGTTAGATTTTAATTAACCGTTTTAAGATCAGTGTTTTCTTTTCCTTTTGCCATCATTTACTGCCTTAAAATATATATACAAGTGCTGAAAGTCAAATTTTTGTATTCATTTACTCTACATATCTAGAAATTTAATATGACCAATGCGCCTCTAATTCTAATAGATTTAAGGGCGCCTCTAAATCTAATAGAATAGATTCCAATAGATTCAATGTCATCTAATATGCTTCATGAGTTCCTAACTTGAATAACTATGTAGAGATGGAGGATGAATGTACCTATGATTAGCTGACTAAAGAAAGTTACCTGAATGAACATGATATTGGTATACAATACTGACAAGTTGATGAGTAAGACACATGTACAACATTTAGGTATCTTTATTCTGAAACGTTCCGCCTACACAGTAGGCTTCTTCAGTCTAGTGCAGAGGAGGCAGCAGAAGAGATGTAAAGACGATGTAATCAGTCCATCACCCTTAAAGATGTAGTTTTGAGGTGATCAGTCCCTCAGTCTGGAGAAGAGTTTTGTTCTAAACTACTGAGAAAAACTCTTCTCCAGGCTGAGGGTCTGACCACCTCAATACTACGTCGTCAAGGGTGATGGATTGATTACATCGTCTTTACATTTCTACTGCTTCTGCTGCCTCCTCTGTACTCGACTGAAGAAGTCTACTGTGTGTAAGCGAAACCTTCCAGGATAAAACTACCTAACTGTTGCTCGTCAAAGTTAACTGAAGCTGTAAACTTACCTTAATTAACGTGAGTACCTGTGTTTTGTGCTCTCCTTGCCTCCCGGAACGAGGTTGAGGTCTTTGTGTGACGAACATAAATTGCCTCCAGTAACAAGGGTGTCACCATAGGGGTTTGACAGGTGTGCCAGGTGTCACACAACCTGGATCAGTGTCCCCATCACCAAATAATAGGAGCTGGAAGCATCCTGTATCACCTCTCAGGTACCTGCAGCCAGCAACAGGTACCACACACTCAAGTTTTTAAAGTTATGTGGGATGACTCAAACTTTTACAAACCTTGGAAAAAAGTTTAAATTTTAACCTGCTCAACACGAGTTAATATGCGGCTCTCAGTAACTTTTTTTGATTTTACGATATATATTTAAACGTGTTTTTCCCACGAGAAAATATTTGCAAAAACAAAAAAAAAAGTTTTTTTTTTTTGCACCCAAAGGGTAACTTAGAGGTAAGAAACTTAAGTCTTTCAAAACAGCAATTTTTTGCAAACGACAGAGTTTTGGGGACGGGAATATCTGGGAACTAGGCAGTCTCGCAGAGGTTAAGAGGAAAGTGCGAGAACACGTAAACAAGTCGTGCACGCGCTGCTGGGAACGGAGGAGGAGCTGCCGCAGGAACCTCCCATCACGATGACCACCCAGCAAGCACTGTGCAACCCACACCAGACACGCTCACCCACACAGTAGCCAATCTCTCTCTCTCTCTCTCTCTCTCTCTCTCTATCTCTCTCTCTTTCTTTCTGGGACCGCATGACCCGTCGTGGTATTCTTACGATGCTGTCTGTCTATTGTAAGATGCGGGGAGATAAGTGTGAGAGGAAATGTGAAATTCACTATGTAGCTCCAAGGTTGTGGACTATGACCTTCTCAAGAGCATAATAACAAATACTCAGCTGGGATATCAGAATATTGCAGAGGGTGTTCAAACCCAGTACTTCAAAGAAGGAAACTGTATGACCCTTGTGGGTTTAGCGCTTTGTTATGATTATTATAATAATAATCATTTAGAGTGGGAACCTCTATATTGCAAAGCTGGGACCTAGATACGTATATCTCCGTGCATATATTACTTAATTAAATTAATTATTATTTTATTATTATATATTATTATTATTATTATTATTATTTATATTGCATTTATCGGGATCGCTAAACCCGTAGGGTCATACAGGGCCTAGAGGACTGAAAGGTATTTAGGGTTAATCCACGGAAGGGAAGCACCGGTGTAATTCCTTAAATCAAGTGCCCCTCACCGGCATCAAGGAACCTCCCTTTAGAGGATATAGATTGAAATATGTGTATATCTGTGTATATACACTGAGAGGAAAAAAAATTATATATAAGTGCCGTTGTATACAAACCCAGAGATTTAGAAAACACTTTCATCATCATTCACTCCATCACTGTCTGCCAGAAGCGTGCCGATACTACAGTTCAAGAACTGAAACATATCTCCACCTCTCCTTCAGAGCTCAAATCAGGGCTCAAATCAGGCTCACTGGTTTCCCTGAATCCCTTCATATTTGCTACTTTAATCACACTCCAACAGCACGTTAAGTCATAAAAATCATTTGCCCCCACTCTCTCCTATCGGGGTAGAGGTCGGACCTAGGCCGACCTCTACCCCGCCTTCCTTTCACTGCAGATTTATACACCGTCCAAGTTATTCTGTTGTGTTCTAACCTATCTTAATGTCCAAACCACCTCAACAACCCCTCCTCTGTTCTATGGATAATACATTTTAAAACCCTGCACCTCCTTCTAAGCTCCAAACTGTGCATTCTCTGTATATTTACACCCCACATTGGCCTCAGATACGACATCTCCATTGCCTCCAGCCTTCTCCTTGTTGCAACATTCACCACTCATGCTTCACACCCATATAAGAGCTTTTGTACCACTATTCTCTTATACATTCCTCTGTTTGCTTCCATGGGTAAAACATCCTTTGTCTCCATATACTCCTCAGTACACCACCACTATGGTTCACCTCGTCTTTTATAGACCCATTTGCTGATGAGTAAACTCAAAAATAACCTGAGCATGTTAACTTCCTCCATACTCTCTCCCTCCAAATTGATATCCAATCTTTCATTACCTATTTTTTATTGTTATTCTTATCACCCTATTCTTTCATATGTTCATTTTCAATTTCCTTCTTTCATACACCCTCCCAAATTCGTCCAGCAACGTCTGCAACTTATCTTCAGAATTTCCCAAGCACAGTTCATCATCTAAAAGCAATTATGGCAACTCCCACTTTGTGTTAGATTCCTTATCTCTCAATTCCACACCTCTTGCCAACACCTGACCATTTGCTTCTCTTACAACCCCATCAATAAATATATTGAACAACCATGGTGACATCACGCATCCCTGTCTAAGGCCTTCCAGCTCATGGAAATACTCTCTCTCCTATTTACCTTAAACTGAGCCTCACTATCCTCATAAAATCTCTTAAATGGTTTCAGTAACCTAAAATCTATTCAATACGCTTGCAACATCTGCCACATTGCTCCCCTATCCACCCTATCATATGTGTTTTCCAAATCCATAAATGAAACGAAAACCTCTTTATCCTATTTACTTATATGCTTCACTGTAAACACCTGATCTACACCCCTTCCCCCTCCCATTCTTAAAAACTCCTTATTCATCTGCCATCCTTTTTCTATCTTACTCTTAATTCTTTTAATAATAACTACCATACACCTATACTCAACAGACTTATTCATCTATAATTCTTATACTCTCTTTTATCCCCTGTGCCTTTATACAAAGGAACTATGCATGTTCTCTGCCACTCCCTAAGTATCTTCTCCACGCTTATTCATTTATTAAATAAAAGCACCAACAATTCCACAAGTATATCTCCAACCAGCTCAGACGCAAAGACGTGCTGGACAGAGACAATTCATCTTCAGTTGCAAAAACTGACACTAAAACTACACATGAAAAAGCCCTTGACATTACACACTGAATTGGCCAATGTAAACCGTAAGCTCAATTTTATCATGAAATCAATAAATAAAGTTCCTTTAAAATATAATTAAAAGAAACTTTCTATATATATTGTATATATTAAATACATTCTACTTTCATGGAATATATATTAAGGCTAAATTTCCCATAGTAATCCAAAATCCATGCCTTGAGGTGTAGGTATACAACGATGCGCGATCTCAGCGGAATTCTCACATATAAGCCACGAGGCATTGAGTGGGGAGTCAGATCAAGAGATATTACACATGTCTTAAGAGGCCTAATAGGCGTCTGGAAGGTGGTCAGTGAGGTGTAAAGGTGATGATGTGTACGCATCACTAAACAATCTATTCATTGTAGTATTTCGTGTTTGTTTAGAATAAATCTCGTTGCATACCATGAGGCAGTTAAGCCTATGTGGTATTGAGACAGTAACTACCATTCATTAGATTTGATACCTAGCGAGTATAAGGTTCTAGTATAAGGGAAGTGGTAACCATTAACGCAGAATCGAGTACTACAAGTCTGTGGGCAGGTTCAGTATGTGTCATGGATCAGTGTGTAGCTGTTTGGTGACAACACTGAATCGGATCGAGTGATTCACAAGATTCATTTATACACTTAAACATTACATATCTAATGATTTGCACAGAGCATCGGTAATTCACCCACCCATCCATCAACCTATACATCCATCAACCCGTTCAGCCATCAATCCAAGAGTCGTGTATTTCGGTGAATATACGCTGAGAATTTGTTTTAATTCCAGTTCATTCAATCATCCATCCGTCAGCCCCTCTGTCTATCCATCCGTCAATCCATACATCAAGTTAACTCATCTCATTATCCATCCATCAACCCATCCATCTACCGACCTATCCATCTGTCAACATATCCACTCATTTTCCTATAGATCTACCCCATCCATGCATCAGCCTAGCTATCCAACCACCAATTCATTATTTCATCCGTTCTTCAAACCATCCATCCATCAACATATCTCTCTATCCTTCCTATCCAGTGAGAGTATATCCATATGTATTAAATCACAGTAACACACTATAACACCATCACAACACCACTACAATACCGCAATACCACAAATCACAAAATTCACGATGCTATAATGCCACAATACCACAATGATAAAAATAGCAAAATACCACAGTATCACAACATTGTAGTGCCACAGTGCCATAATACCACAACAAAAATATGCCAGAAACACTACAGTACCACAATACTGCAATACCAAAACCCCAGAATTCCACAGTACCGCAGCACAGAATACGGCAATACAATAATATCACTGTACAACAATACCAAAATAAACAATACCAAAACACAGTACCATAATTCAACAGTACAGCTATAACACAGATTTGTATATATCTCATACCATGACATACGCAGCATGTCAGACAGAACGGTTTGTGACCTCGTTTCCTCACTGCGTGGGTGAAACATCGTCAATGAAGGCTTCGTTTAACTATACAAGAAGCCTGGGCAGGGGATCTACGATCTGAAATAGTCACTGATTCACTGTGAATGAAAAAGGGGAAAAGTGTTTAAGCTCAAAGGAACTTTTTTTTTATTTTTAGTCTGACCTTTTGATACATTTATTGGTTTGGTTTAGCGCTTCTTTTATATTATAATAATAATAATATTGGTTTGGTCAGAAAAATGTTCGAGGCTGAATACGGAAGCCCCAGAGGCAGGGATTCGTATATTTGTACCATATACACAATTAATATTTTATGCGTACCCTTGTGTCTTCCTAATGTAATTTTATACACATACATAACACACACACACACACACACACACACACTCACACACACACACACACACACACACACACACACACACACACACATACACACACACACACACACACACTTAGTCTTTAACAAAAAACTATTAGGGAACTGAGAGAGGAAAAACACTAGCATATATACATGAAGACACAGACGGTCACAGACGTAAAAACAGTCTTCGATGGAGTCAGGGCTAGAGAGGGATTGTTTACAAAACATGGGAATCATTCCCCATCACTGTAAACTCCATCATATAATTCCGTTATACAGAAACACCTCAATCAACACATTCTTTTAACCCAACACTGTCCATACCACAAACACACAGGCGTCTCATTCCCAACTTACCTCCTCCCTCTCCTCACCCCCACTCTCAAATACACTCATTCTCACCTGGAGTTTACCTGGAGTTTGCCTGGCATCGCTTCCGGATGCCACCGCCCCAGCGGCCCGGTCCCAGACCTGACCTCCGAGTTGCTAGCCTGATCGCTCAAGCTGTTATTGCTAGCCACCCCCACCACCACCAGTGTCTACACTTCCCCTCACCACCACCACCACTCACTAATCTCTCTCACGTACCTTGTTAAAATACATAACCCACAGCTACATTTCACCTCGGTTACATATACAATATATAAATCCAGACAGTGGTCCTCTGCACTCGTAATTACACCTATTGTCAGTATTTCATTAGAGGGAAAAAAAATCTCTGCTGGCTAAGCTTGGGTTGAGTAAGGATGGACGAAGCTAAATTCCTACAAAGGAAGAGAGATCTTAGAATATTAATATTTTCAAGCATATTTACAAAATGTAATTAAAATCACTATACTATTTA